TCTCTGCTAGGAGGGCGCGGTCACTGCTCCTCCTCGGAGGACTCCTGCGAGATGCCCTCCTCTTCCTCCTTCTCCTGCGGTGGGCAGAGGGGTCAGAGCTGGGCCCTCCTCCGCCCCCGCCCCACTCCGCGGAAGGGAGATGACTCAGGGTTGAGTGTGTGTGACTCAGCAACCTCCATGGCCGCACTTCATTCATAAAAACGCAGGATGGAAAAGGGGGAAGAAGCCACACGCGCTCTGCTCTCTCAGGGCCGGGACCCCAGGCAGTAAGGCGGAGCCGGGCTGCACCCAGGGGGCCCTCGGCACCGGGGTCCAGGTGGCAGCGGTGGCCACAGGGCAGGTACCGGGTCTGGGCGGAGGAAGGGAAGCTCGCTCATGGGGCGGGAATGTGGGGTCACCACAGGCCCAGGGCCCCCATGCCAGGCGCAAACTCCAAAACAACTCGCTTCCTGTTACTCACTGGTGGGTGGGCTTGGCTGGGGGGGCAAGGGGCCAGGAGCCCAGGGGGTCCCTCCAGGAGGTCCCTCACAGGACACACGCGTCCCTCTGGCTTCCTTCCCTCCCTGCATTGGCAGGGCAGGACCTGGCCGGGTTGCCATCTGGGTTGCTGGCTGTGAACAGCCCCCCAGGACTGGGGCCCCTCAGCCCCAAACGGGGAACAAACCAAACCCCTTAGGCAGAGCTCAGCACCTACCAGTTTTTTGGGTCTGCCCCGTGGTTTCCTCCCAGGAGCTGTGGTGGTTTTCTGGAGGGTCAAAGAAACATCCCCAAGTCACAGATGCTGCGCTGGGGCAGCCCACCCGGCCCAGCTGTGATGACCAGCTGGCCACACTCGCCCCCCACCCAAATACAACCCCGTGACTCAGAGGATATGAGTCGTGTCTTTAAAGAATAAACAAAACAACTCTTCTAAGGACTGATCCCTCCCCAGTCCCACCCCTGTAGGATGAAGGTTAACAGCCCAGAGTTGGCAGAGGCCAGGAGAGCCAGCCGCAAGCAGGGCCTCTGTCTTGGTTGCCCACCGTGCCAGGCAGGACCGAAGCCACAGAAGCGAGAGCTCTGCTATCACCCAGGTTTCCACACGACACCGAGGACAGGGCGGCCCGAGCCGTGGCCATGGGGAAACGAGGGGGCCGTTTCAAGCCTCACCCGGATCTTGGCAGCACCCTTGTTTTTGCTCCCCTTTGGTCGGCCCCTCGGTCTCTTCGGCGTTGGCACTTCACTGGGCTCCTTCTGCAGGGACAGAGACTGCCTCAGCCTTGCCGGCGCCTCGCCCCAGCCCCACAGGCACAGACCCCTGGGTGGGCCCAAGGCCCAGCGACCACCTTTGCAGAGCTCTCCCCTTGATCCGAGCCAAGAAAGTGATGGGAAACCAAGGACCTCGGGGAAAGGTGGCCCTGTCCACAGTCCGGTTTGAGTTTGGCCACTTAAAGATCCAGTCAACGGCCTATGTCCCGTGTGCAAGGATAGCCGCGCTCATTACTCACTGAGGCTGCACTCCTGGTCCCCTACAGGGAAAGAGGGATTCTGCCCAGAGCCCAGAGATCCCCCTTGACGTGCTGCTCTGAAACCGCAGAGCCCAAGGCAGAACAGAAGGCTGCTGCACGCACAGCCCATTCTCAAGGGGCAGCTGAATGCCAGCCACTCCCCTGAGGGCCAAGGTCCACCTGCAGTGCTCTGGGGCTGGGGTGGGGACCACCCGACCCCACTGACAGACCAGGTGGAGCCCACCCAGGAGGAGCACTGCCCTGAGAAGGCAAAGCACAGAAGCTGCACAGCAGGTACTCAGACTCTTGGTGTTGCTTTTTGGAGTCGCACTGGGGCCCCTGGGTGGAGGACAAGGACAGAAGAGCCACAGGCACAGAGCCCTGATTCATGCACAGGTCCTAAACACACGCCTACCTGCTCCTGACGACACAGGCCCCAACTTATATCCCCAACACCCGAGAACTAGTTAATAAACACAGGCACGTGTGGCATGTGTGTTTACAGTACTGGGGTGGGAGGTAGGGCCTTTTGCACCGGGCCACGCCTGCAGTCCTTTGTATGTGAGACAGGGCCTCACTAAATCACGCAGCCTGGGCTTCTGCCTCATCCTACCAGAGTGCTTGAATTAAAGCCATGTGTCACCATGCCCAGGCTTTTTCAATTTTTGTTAGTTCATCTATCAAAACTGAAATCATAGCCAGGCAGACTGAGGAAGCCAGGGTGGACCCTGTCTCAGATTTTGAAATAAGTTTTTGATAATTTTTTTTATCGGTACCAGGGATCGAACTCCTGTCCTTGTGCTTGTGAGGCAGCAGTGGTACCACTGAGCTAAATACACGGCCCATGAAATAAGTTAAGTAAAAAGAGTTGGGGCCAGGCCTGGTGGTGAACGCCTGTAACTGCAGCACTCAGGAGGCTGAGGCAGGAGGATCACCCTCTGGTGAAGGCCATGCTGAACTACATAGTAAGATCCTCTCTCAAAAAAAAAAAAAAAAAAA